TTTATATTTATAGTTATTATTAATTTGAACATATCTATTTCTAAGTTAAGGTAAACAAAAGTTAGATTATTTTTTTCTCAATTTATTTTGGTCTTGATAAATGTATAAAACTCCAAATTCACTTACATGGTAACAAAGAATGATACATTATTAAAATAGAAGGATATTAGATTGAAAATTTCCATAGTTCATGATAAAAACAATGTACTTATAGTAGATATTATTATTATTACAAATCTTTCAAAATACACAAGATTTAAGGACCTCAATGAGAAGACCATAGAAAATTTATATTCACTTCCAAAGTGCACATTTGCAGTGGGAGTGATAGTTTTAATAATCACTTGCACAAGTCACATTAGTGGTGAAATTGTTTGCATTGTTTTTTATTTTGCCACCTCTTCGGAGAACTAGAGCTACAATCAATCAATTCAACAACTTAACTATTATTATGGCTTTTGTCAAGATTTTAGTTTGTTAAACTTGGGTTGCATTATATATAAATTAGTGTTGTCTGGTTCCAACATATAGCGCACACAAAGTAGAAAAGAGAGGAGCTTAGCATATTTCATGGAGCACAAGCTCCAGATAAAATATTTTATTTCATCCCACACTACCATGATCATGGCTGCTTTGTTAAGTCTGGAATCTAAAAAACATCATGCACCATTGGGATGGCATAATAAATACTTAGCCATTTTTCAGTCAAAATTTTTTTTTTCTTGCTTTCTTGACTAATGATACTCTGTTGTTGTTGCTGCTCCTTCAAGCATTTCTATCTGGAGTATTCATCTTAGATATCAACTGGGAGGAGATAGTTTTTTTTTTTCTGATAGCTATTTTCTTTATTGTTAGGATCAAACTTAAATGAGCATAACTTAGGCATTCTTGAGGTAATCAATGAATAAGGCATTCTCATGTGGAGCAAGCTTGTTTCTGTGACCTGAAGAAAAAAAGATTAAATCTACTACTTTAAAATATTTAATATTATGTAATATGTTTATTTTAAGATGGGTATTTTTTTGGGTTAGGGATTAAGAAAAAGATTTAATTAATATTATATAACAAGCTAAAGTAGAATATTGGCTAAAGTGTATAGTGATATAAAGTTTAACTTGGTTAAGAAAAATATGAAACAACATTTGGTTTAAAACTAAAAAATCTATTTTTAGTGTTATGCATTATCCCATGAAATATTAATAGAGACCATCTAAAACTCAAATGCATAGGAAAATATAGATTTAGAGCTTTGGCACAATTGTTACAATTTGTTGATGGTGGTGTGTTTTTTATCAGTGTTGCTTAACATGCTTATGAAGCACTTAAACAAAAAAGATATTAAAATCCTAAAGAACATAATCACTCTCCTCAAAAAGGGTTGAGAACTAAAAAAATATTCCTCCCATGTAAGAAGTTATTGTGGAATATTAACTTGTCATTAAAAGAAAAGAAAAAGGATAAAATTAATAATAAAATATTAAAGCAATAGATGAATTTGTGTTTAACACTTTAAGTATGAAATCTTTAAAACCCTACTTTAATTGGAACGTTTTAGAAACTATATCTATTTTAGGCATATATCCATGTTACAATTTCAATGTTATAAGCATTGGTTTCTTAACTAGCTTAGGTAGAGATTAATAAAAGGAACGAGCCATAGCAATAAAAAAATATATATATCCAAAAAGACTCTCTAATAAATAACTTTCAATACCCTATTCACAACACTAATATAATTACTTTAGTAAATTATTTAACACCAAGAGTAGTTTCTATATTTGAAGCTAAAAATTTGTATAACAACAAATTTTAATGGTATATCATCCACGTTTCATGACTTTCTCAACCAAGTTTAACTTCAAATCAACATAATATATTTGGTATTCAACTTTGACTTTTTGTATAAGATTATCAAATCTCTTTTTATTGGGACACATATTTCCTAATTGTCAACCCTTTTAAAGGATAATCTTTAGAATTTTGATCTTTTTATTTTTTATATGCTTTATAAGCATGTTCAGCAACACTAAACAAAACTGCACTCCCATTAACAAGTTCTAGCAGTTGTGCCAAAGCTCTAAATCTTAATTTGCCTATGCATCTAACATCGAAATAATCATTACTGAGGTAAGTTATATAGTTTGCTTTCATTTTTGTACCAACTGTCACATGCCCAAAAAAGGGCTTATAAGTAAACAAGGAATAGCAACAATCAGTTCATCCAAATTTCTATAGTGAATAGTTTTGCAAAATGGCGTTGTAGAGCATAAGATGTGCACAGTCATGGAAGCAGCACACACTATGATGAGAGTGCAATTCACACTTTGTTGGAGGTCCCACACCTTTTGAGTTAGTTCAAGCATTAGCCATCTCTGTTGTTGGAAACCAAATGAAAGATACCACTTACAATACCAAGCTAACAATGCTACATTGCTAGATGACTCGTCCACATTACAGGAAGCTCTAGAGAAACCTGATTCAGAGCAGTGGACAACAGCAATGGTTGATAAGTTCAAATCCCTGTAATGTGGTTCTAGTAAATCAACACTGATGGGTCCATCTTTAGATTTAAAGCTTGCTTGGTCGATGGAGCTTTCTGCCAGAAAAAGGGAGTTGGAGTTTTTTTTCTCTTGTGCGGCTAAACTGCTTCCTTGCGTGTAATACTTTTTATTGCCTATGCTTGGGACCTAGAGGTTCATGCCATGGATGTCAAGAGCAAATTGAACTGATTTACATGGAACAACCTCCAGGCTTTGACGATCAATGGACTCACATAGATTTACATTTCGTTTCTTCACGTTTCTTTATACAGGGCATTTCCTCACAAAGTGGTGTGATCTTTGTCATGATCATTATATCTCTAGTGCGTCATCTTCATCAAGTACGTAGATAAAAGCTCCAGCCATGGGTCAGATGACCAAGCACAGTGCCACACTGCGATGCAACTGTTCTTCAGTCTCTCAACTTGGGAGAGTTACAGCGGTTTCATATCTAGGAGAGCTTAGCTTTGTTTGTAGTAGACACACAGAGAACGAGTTGTGTGCATCTTGTGGATGCTGGAGAGGACTCTTGTGCTACTGGTGATTCTGGTGATGGAGCAACAGCGGTATTCGACGAGCCCTCACCCGGCCTGGAACTGGAATTCAAAAGTGATTGCCGCGGGGCTTTGATTACTCCGTGACGTGGCAGTTGCTTTGGGTTTTCAAGGAATCTTAGCCCTGGCATTGCAGGACTCCTGGATCTCGGCCACGTAAATTTGCGAGAGAGAAAGAGAGAGAGGCTCCTCGTCATTCCGTGCTGATCCCAGGATCTGAGGGAGAGAGAGAGAGAGAGAGAGGCTCCTCGTCATTCCCTGCTGATCCCAGGATCTCAGGGAGAGAGAGAGAGAGCGAGAGAGATGGCTACAAACGTTCGTCTCGTAATTCCAAAAGAGTTTGGCATCTATCTACAAGCGGCAAAGAGCAACGAAGATGCCCTCCACAATGAGAGCTGCGAGCTCTCCCGGACTTCCCGTGGCTCCTGCGCGCGTGAGAACAGAGAGATACTGTCCATGTCTCGCCGGCGGAACACTCCTCAAATCCTCCGCATTCGCCGAGGCCCGCGTGAGTAAGGACCGCCACTCCTCCCTACCGATCAAACTCGCCTCGCCCAAGTGCCGCTCTGTCGGGCCAACATCCAGCAGCAGCGTAAGGGGGAAGTGGAGGCCAGTGACTCCCGAGACCAGGTACGTGAGCAGCAGTCGTCCAAGCCGTCCATTCCCATCACCGAAGGGATGGATCGCCTGGAACTCCAAGAAGAAGCCCGCTGCCAATTTGGCCACGTCCACCACGAATGCAGCACTTCCCATCTCCCTCGCGTAGTACACGTTCTCCAGCTCGCTGTTGGTGGCGGCCACTAGCAGCTCCATCTCCTCCCTGATCATCTCCGGTGCCACTCTCTCGCTCGACAATGTGCCATCCAGCTGCTTTATCCAAGCTCGCTGGATCCGATAGTCACCTATCCGCACATCCTCCTCTGTCGGACTCGCGACAACCACCGTGTGGAGCTTCTTGATCCTCCAGATGGAGAGGTGGGGCACGGGCACTCGGCTGCTCAGCTCCTTATCTTTCGAGATCCAATCCTTAATATCTTCCAGCCCGTTGCAAAAGCTCACAAGCCGCCGCTTCTTGTCCTCGTCCACGTAAAAGCCTCCATCGCCGTCGCTTGCTCCAATCGCCACCGCCGTCTCGGCTACAGACTCCATTCCTACATAAGACCAATGTTAAAAGGCCTTTAATCTTTTCCTAGCTAGCTTTTTACCTGCATTCATCTCCCACACCCGCTTAGATCACTAGACTTCTCTGGAGCAGCGCTGCCCCGTCTTTCCTTGTCCATGCGTCGTGAATCGCCCGTCGCAGCAGCAGCGCCTCTACACCCTACCTATCACGAACAGCGCGAGCATCGCACGATCTTGCTCCGGCGGCAGCGGCTGCGCGATCTTCGTCGATATAGCATCAGCCATGGCGTCAGTGGTGAGATCGCTCCAGCGCCAAGCCGGACGAAGCGGGACCCGAAACGCTAGCGCCATCACTACTAGCACAAAAGAAGAATACTACAAGCCCCGCCATTTTATACCCTCTTCCTTCCAGAATATTCTCTAGCTCTAGGGAGAAGCGCGGGAAATGCAGCCGCGGCGATCGATCGCGCCAGCCGCGACATCGCGAATCCGGCCGCATTCGCTAGGTCCGGAAATATTCCTCGCGGATTGGAGCTCGAGGCACTGGCGAATATGGCCGTCCGGGTGGAGCTCGCAGATGGGGCGAAGCTCCAGCGCTCTTCCCGCAAAGGTCGGGGCTGCGATCTCTCATTTCTTCTCTTCAAGCTTCTCATAGCTTTTTCGTATGTTTTTTTTTCCTTTCTTTGTTTGCTTTAGCTTCCGCCAGGCATTGAGATGGCTATCGAACTCCACTTTTTGGAGATTGTTGTTTTTCTGGTGCGTTGATAAGCTTTCAACCTATAGATTCTTTCCAATGACAGGTTCTCTCTTCTTCTTTATAGAATCCAATACGTTACTGCTCGCGTCGCCAAGATATTGTTCATCTTGTGTGGCTGCTAGCTTATGATCGATGCTTGTCTCAGTGGACGTCTACGCTCTCCAAAGGTACATGGCGCGAACATCCTCACTGTTGTGGATAAGCCACTCAAGGGCGTCACGCCACTGGAGATCCATCTCCTGTTGCTTAACTTTTTTCGTTCTCTATGCCAAGGTAAGTCTCTGCGGCTTTAGCCTTCACTGAGAGTGTTGTCTTCCAGGTGAGCTGGATCATCATCAATCCTACACGTTTGTGGAGCTTCCATCCCCGCCGCCACGAAAAACTTCTTCCAGCCGACATAGAGGCCTTCGGTGTAGATGGCAATGAGTCGGCCGGGATCTCGGGTCTCTGAAGACGATGCGTGCTGCCCCTCCTCCTGAAAGCAGCTGCGGTACAAGCCATAGTCAACAATGTCTTCACTGTCCACCAGGTACGCATTGTTGGGGGCCAGCTGAGGTGTGATGCTGGAGAGGAGATAGGTGAGCAGGAGCCTTCCGACCCGTCCGTTTCCGTCTCGAAACGGATGAATAAGCTCGAAGTTGAGGAAGAAATCGACTGCCAGGTGCAAGAGCTTAGCAGTAAAGGTTGCAAGATCTTCTTGCTCGGTGCAGAAGACGTCGTCCAGCTTGGTGTTGGTGTCGCCCAGGAGCTGCTGCAACCTGTGAGGTACCTGGGAGTGCTCCACGAACTGGTGAAAGGAGCCGTCCTTGAGGCGAACCCAGACGTCGCGGTCCCTGAATCTGCCCGCCTCCGCCTCCCATCCATCGCGGTTCTGGAAGAGGACCTTGTGGAGCCTCTGGATGGCCGATATCGTCAAAACTGGCTGCCGGGACTCGCCAGCAGCTTGCTCCACCAGGCGATAGGCGTCGTGCAGGTTGACGGTGACAATGAAATCCTCCTCGTGTTGCTGCTGCGCGTCTCCTCGAGTAACTGCATCAATGACGGCCCGCGTCTGAGGGATGGAATCGTAGCCTTCGCCGTTGATGGTGTTGACTTGGTACACGAAATCCACTAGCATTTGCTTCCGGCAGAGGGCCGCCGCTGCCTCGTTGATCTGTGTCGATGATTTGTAGAACTCGCCAAGGAAGCTCGCGATGGCTCTTACCAGCCAGGTCGTGCTGCGCCGCACCCTCTTCCGCCACGCCGGATGCTCAATCGCCATCTCTTGTGCTCTGCCCTAAGGTTTGAAATAGGTGCAACACTTTTCTATTTTATAGAACGCACTACCTTTTGTTATGAATTTATCCATGTTGCTATTCCTTTTATATTTATAAGCCTTTTTTGGGCATGTGACAGTGGTACAAAAGTACAGTGACCATTTTGAATTCAAACACATAGGCAAATTAAGATTTAGAGCTTGCACAACTGCTTTATTGTTTGCGTGCTTCATAAACATGTTGAGCAACATTAATAAAAAACACACCACCATCAACAAGTTGTAGCAATTGTGCCAAAGCTCTTAATCTATGCATTTGAGTTTTAGATGGTCTCTGGTATAATACATATTTAATGGGATAATACACAACACCAAAAATGGCTTTTTTTTTTTTCCAAATTAAAGGCTGGTATGTGAGGACATGTATTCTAAGTTTCATAATTTTCTCATAAGTTAAACTTTATATCACCTTACACTTTAGCCAATATTATAAGATACCTTTTGTCCTTTTTTCCTTAGTCCCTTGCCCTTTTGAGAAATACTTAATTAGTCACCAGTCAAAAGAGAGAGAAATTAATCATGTAATGGCACTAAAGAAGAAAATAAATAATTATATAGAAAGTCATTAGTACTTGTATTTAGCTCCTAAGCATTTTATATCAATCCCTATCTCCATCCCCAAGTTCTACCAATATTCCACTTTCACCTCCACTTCTTTCTTTTGTAAAGTTGAACTAGAGTTTCCTATATATAAAATTCTAGATTTTGCTACTAGAGAGGGATTGGCTTTAGTGCTTCAAAAGCAATGCCACATGTTTTTGCAAGATTTAGCTCTTAATATGGCACAACTACTTGAAAGTATAGAATATTATTGTCGCAAATGTGACTTTGGGTATCGAAAGATATTTGTTGGTCAGTCCTTACAGACACTCTTTCCTTATTGCCATGAGGGTAGAAGGTTGGTACAGTTGATTCCCTTTATCATTCTCACTTGAGCTAGTTGAGAAACTAGTCAATGACCTTATACTTAAATTAGATAAACATAAGGTAAGAACCCTATGTGTTTTTTGTTGAGCATACTCGGCCTAGTTTGAGAAATTCGTGTCATTGTCTTGCACTTGCTAGTATCAAGAAACCCACGTATTGAGACTAATCCCCAATATCGTTGAATGATAGCTTATCGTGACTGCCAAACACCCTCGTTATCATGCCCTTTGTGTTGGTCTCATTTTAGTTTTAAATGCTATTTATGGAAAGTGTTTGGATTTGTTCATTTGGCATATCTATAGAATGTAGAGATTGGCATGAACACAATAGTGTTCGTCCCGTGTCCAAATTCGTAATCTAGGGACATTCCATATTTAATAAGTTTCGAACTTGTCTTAGAGACTAACTCCTAGTACTAAGGGAGGCTTGTGAAAGCCCAAAGTATGTGTTCCTCAAGGGGGTGAGGGGGGGGAGGGGGTGATGTGGGGGGTTCCAAGTATATAGTAAGGATAATGGTTGGAATGCATGTGCGACTAGATATTAGTTTGGCTCCTGCTGGGCTGTGTTGCTCCTTGTTCTGCGTTCAGCTTGGGTCTAAACACAAGCTCCATGCTGCTCTAGTTGCTGGGGTACCCTTCTCGTGTTAGGCCACCGGTATGCCAAAATGGTGTTAGAATTCTATGCCAAAATTGTGCCAGACTTCGTCTAACACCATTTTGCATGCAAGTGTTGGATATAGGGAGCTGGTGCTCATGGGATTGTACCAAACCCTCGTTTCGTAGAGCAATGGGCTTGGAGTTTGGCTCCAAATTTAGGTGTGCTACATTTGGTATAAGAGGAAATGTCACAACGATTCCTATCCAACTTTTGTCAGATTTCCTGACTCAAGTTGCATACGCAGAGACTTTTTTAGTAGATCCAAAGCAACCTATGTAAAATTAGTTGGATTGCACCATTCGGTAAGAATGTTGTATGAATGTTCAATTATTGATAGAGGCATGCATGCAGCTAGCGGAATGGTGAAACGGAACCGTGCTGATGATGTTGAAACCTCTAGACAGGCGAATTGAGAGGAGGAAACTCTTGCTAGAGATGCTATGGAAGAGGCAAAGGCTGAGTTAGAAGAGGAAGAGCCAGATGCTGCGGCACTGCAGCGTACGGCTCAAGAAGTCGAGATCAAGAATTTGCAAAAGGAGATTCACAAATTGAAGAAGGAGAACAAGAAGAGGAAGAAAGAAGCTGAGGCAGCTAGACTAGCTAAGCCTAAGCAACCGGACTCTTCTTCAAGTTTTGAGGATGATGAAGTTCTACAATTGCCCCCGGTTGCATGAGTTTCAAAGTTCAAGCCTCTAAAACCATCCAATTTTAGCATGCGGGACTATCAGACTAGGTCTACGATATGGAAAATTATTTCATAGCGGTAGACGTAGATGATCATACGAAAGTTGCGTGTGTGCAATCTTTTCTCACCGATCATGCCAAAACTTGGTGGTGCCAGGTATGTGCTGAAAAAGGGCAGACCAAGATGCGGTCTTATATCCATAAGGAATACTTGCCGGATGATCTTGGTCTGAGACTTCACGCAGAGCTGCGGCGGTTAAAGTAGTGAGGGGATCTCATGCATTACGTTAATGCATTTTCTCAGAAGCACATTATGGTTGCAAATATGAGTGACGAAGATGCTCAGAGTTATTTCCTAAAGGGTTTAAGTTCACTTTCTCACAATGAGATTTTGAAATTTAAGCCAAAGATGTACCTAGAGTGTAAGGAGGCAGCACAACAAGTTGCCTTTAGCCATTCACTCATAGAACAATATCAGCAGCCGTATGCTAGTACCTCGGACAAAAATAAGAATTCTGGGAATAAACAAAGTGATCGAAAACAGAGGGTGGAAGGTAGGTTTTGCCCCGGGGGCTCATAAGCAACGGTTAACAAAGGTGGTGGTGGTGGTTCAAGACCACCAGTAGCTTCTTCTAGCCCTAGACCCTTTATTCCTCCTTCTGGTGGGTACAAACAGTAGCAACTTGCAAAACTTGCTCCTAGCGGAACAGATAGTGTGGGTTATTGCTTCCATTGTGGAGAGTCAGGACATAGATCCTCGGAATGTCCCAACAAGCATAAGACAATGTCTCGTGTTAATGTCATGAGGGAAGACAATGGTGGTGAAGCTGAAGGGTTGACGAGTTGGTCAATGCAGACTATGAGGAAAAGGAGGTGAGTTACTTTCGTTGCTTTCCTCAAGCTTTTCTGGCAGTCAATGCAAACACTAATCTATTGATGTACTTGGTAGGCTTTGTCTACAGACACCAAATCCGAGTGATAATTGACAGGAGAGCTACGCATAGTGTGATATCCAAAGACTTAGTTAAGTTGTTAGGATTGAATGCTGAGCAAATGTCGCCTGTGCACTTCTAGTTTGCAAAAGGTGGGCAAGTAACCAGAAAGTTTGTGAGTGATGTTCCAATAAAAATATCCAAGTGGAAAGAAAGAGTGGACATGGTAGTGTTGAAGATACCAGATTTTCAGATGATGTTTGGTATGGATTTCTTCAACAAATATATAAAAGGGATTTATGGTGCTGGACAAAGTTGCATCACATTGAAGTTAGAAGGATGTCCTGATGTGTTCTTCCAGTTGCAAAAGTGCTCCTCAAAGGATTGGGATGCTAAGTTCCTGATTGCAAGAGCCGCTCAAAAAGCAGCTAAGAAGGGATGTTGGACCTTTTGGGTTCAAGTGATGGAAGCTGAGTGTGTGGGTGACTCAATTCGGATCAGTGACGGGGTTGATCCTATACCAAAGAAGATATTGGAGTTGTTGGAGCGGAATCAGGATATCTTCCCGAAGGATTTGTTGCCAAGGCTACCTCCGAGCTGTGAGGTTGATCATCGGATTGAGGTTATTCTGTGTTCTAAACCACCTACAAAAGCTCCATATTGATTGAGCATCAAGGAGATGGTTGAACTCAAAAAGCAACTCACAGAGCTTCTTGACAAAGGTTATATCCGACCAAGCAAGTCACCTTATGAAGTGCCGGTCCTTTTTGTTATGAAAAAGGATGGAACCATGAGGATGTGTATTGACTATCGGGCACTCAACAAGATCACAGTTAAAAACAGTTATCCTTTGCCTCACATTGATGACTGTAAGCAACCAAAGAGAACGACTTGAGAGACGGTCCATGGGGTTCAAATATAGAGGGAAAGGGCCCATGAATAAGAGTGCACCCCCTTTTCCAAACGGTTAAGGGTCTTGGGATATTTGGAGTTAAGCGTCCTTGGGTTTGAATAGTACTGGGCTGGGCGACCTCCCGGGAAGTCCAAACTCAGGAGCTTACATTTGGTATCGGAGCGGGTCTCAGGTCTGACTCTGTTGGTTGGCTAAGGGAATCGCACCACATGTTGATTGACATCTGGCTGGTCCAGTTTGCTCCCACTGGGCTCGACCCGAGGGGTAGGGTGTCAAGAGAGCGAGGCTCTCAGGAGAGCTGCGGCTCTCAGCTTCTGTTCACGAGGGCGTGAACTTGTAGGGAAGCGTGGTGGATTGTAAGCAACCAAAGAGAACGACTTGAGAGACGGTCCATGGGGTTCAAATATAGAGGGAAAGGGCCCATGAATAAGAGTGCACCCCCTTTTCCAAATGGTTAAGGGTCTTGGGATATTTGGAGTTAAGCGTCCTTGGGTTTGAATAGTACTGGGCTGGGCGACCTCCCGGGAAGTCCAAACTCAGGAGCTTACATTTGGTATCGGAGCGGGTCTCAGGTCTGACTCTGTTGGTTGGCTAAGGGAATCGCACCACATGTTGATTGACATCTGGCTGGTCCAGTTTGCTCCCACTGGGCTCGACCCGAGGGGTAGGGTGTCAAGAGAGCGAGGCTCTCAGGAGAGCTGCGGCTCTCAGCTTCTGTTCACGAGGGCGTGAACTTGTAGGGAAGCGTGGTGGATTGTAAGCAACCAAAGAGAACAACTTGAGAGACGGTCCATGGGGTTCAAATATAGAGGGAAAGGGCCCATGAATAAGAGTGCACCCCCTTTTCCAAATGGTTAAGGGTCTTGGGATATTTGGAGTTAAGCGTCCTTGGGTTTGAATAGTACTGGGCTGGGCGACC